ATATATATATATATATATATATATATATATATATATATATATATATATATATATATATATGTAGATCTTGATTGAATCAGCCTCCGTAATTTGTCAAATAACAGCAGTTAGTGAAAAAAATAACATAAGATTTCAGATTCATTTCTAGAAATGGGACACAGTATATTTATATCGAATGAGGTCAAAATCGAGATATTGGCACAAAAAGTTTTACCTTCAAGTAATGGTAAATTTCGGAACCCATACGCATTGCTTCGCTGAATGAATTAGCTCCAACGGGCATGATCATAAATTCCTGGAAATTTCTTTTCCTTCTTAATAGTAGACAGTGTACCACAGAATCGAATAATTTGACTTGATGGGTATATAGAATGCCAACGATTTGAGAATAGCAATGTATGATCACGAATAATGGTTAGCATTGGGAGATTTTTTTTTCGCTTGATTCATTCAAAATAGTCGAATGCTTTCAGTTTAAAATCACTTTAACATTTAATGAAAAATAAAAAAAAAAAAACTGCACTATTAGATGGTTTGTTCTCGCGATGATTTAAATTAAAATGCGCTTTAAATAACAACGCTACTACAGTTTGGAAAAATTCAAAATAACCCAATAATTACCTGCATCGCCAGTTTGTTGCCAGCATGAGAACCACCGTTGATAACATTCATAGCAGGAACTGGTAGAACAACCTGTTTGGTACCAGCCAATTCCGCTATATACTTGTACAATGGCATACCTCTATGAACGGCGCCAGCCTTGCAAACCGCCAATGAAACACCCAAAATTGCATTGGCACCCAATTTCGCTGAAAGGTAAAGAAAACTATAGTGTTAGGATCACAAATAAAAATATGCTTACAGAAATTCTAAAAGAAGTAAAGAAAAAACTGGAAAAACTAAGTGCCGTATTTGCATCGGAGGTTTCCTTCCCTAGCAGCTAAGCAACCTTCCCTTTTCAAGCTAAATAATTCAGTCAGCGCATGGATAATGTATCCCCATTAAAACTGAAAACGCTTCCAAATCAACTCTAAGCTATCCCAATGAAAAATAGTTAAGTTCTATAACTACTGGAAGAAAAATGATACCTTTGTTTTCGGTTCCATCGAGCTCCAGCATAAAATGATCGATTTCACGCTGTTGAGTTGGACAGAAATTCTGAAATAAAAATCTTTCCAACATCTCTCTATTATAAACATTACTGATATGCAAAGAGGTAGTTGTATTAAGTATTTACTTCTACTTACTTGATTCCATTCTATTCGCTACGGAGATATTAAGGAATGGTTTATAACTTTTTCATTTTGAGAAATACTGACTTAAAGCGAAATCTATTGATTCTGTAAAATATTCATGAGTGGCACCGATTTCGCAAAAACAAAAAGGTCAGGTAAATAAAGTAAGAACAGCAAATGTTCCTATTTACAATGTAAAATAAGAATAGTTCGAATAAGTAATCAGGAAGAAAGATCTCAGCGTCTATAATGAAGAAAATCATAATGTGTACATATTAACATAGAATAGCAAAGGAACAATTCACCTTAGCAACCAGAGCGGGCCCAATATGTTCGTTGACATTTCTGACAGCTTGTAAAACACCCTTGCCGTGATTGACAGCTTTATCATTGTCCCGAAGTTCAAGCGCTTCGTGTATACCAGTTGAAGCACCACTTGGTACAGCCGCACGGAAAATACCTAAAATATGATCTTCAAGTTTAAAAAACATAACAGTGGAAAAAGATATGTTTAAAACATGAACTAGGACAATAAATATTCCAAAGCACATAAGGCTCCAGTATTATGCCATTTCAATGCCACCAAACGGATTCTATTCCTAGTGTTGATAAATCTGATTTTGAATTCGTCACAGAATGTTTTGCACAACGTCTAACTCTGGAAAAAATGTCGAAAAATTCGAACATGCAAATATCAGTTAATCCACTCTAGAGACTCAATTTAAATAAGGAAAAAAGAGAAAGGAAGAGGTATGTAAAAGGTCGAGACTACAGTGTTTTAGCTGATTTTTAAAATTTTCTCATTTCCTATCGTTTCTCTTCACTAAGTTGTTAATTTTAATGATGAACAGACCATAATACTGTACGAATCTATGTAAGGTTTATCAGTCCATTATTTACTGAAGTAAATATTTTGATCAGTGAAAAAATCAGTACGGAGTGCTTTTTTCACACCAAGAATTTCCTAGCCAGCTTCAATTATTAGAATGATTGATTGACTGGTGAATGACTTCTGTAAAATCTATAATGAAATTTACAATGTTCCATGGAAGATAGAGCTACTTCCTTCTCATTGCGAAGGCCAATTTACGAATTTGCAATTTACTGCATCCTTCCAGACTTCGCACTTTTTATATCTGTGAGCCTCCTAATTTTAATGAATTGAGTAATTCTCTGAATTAAAAAAAGGAGAAAGTGCTAATCGAAGCAAAAGATAGCAGGAGAGGAATTTGTTTCGAAGAAAAAAAGATTTCCAGCAAAGGAAATGTGAATCGTTTGACAAGTAATTCTGTCCCCATTTACTTCATTTATAGAAAAACTTTTAAAAAAGCTGAAATTATTCTAAAAAAGCAATGTACTGTACCTTTGTCAGTGGTTAAATCAACCTCGACGGTTGGATTACCACGTGAATCATAAATAGGGCGGGCGTGAACACGTGTGATTGGCATAGTTGATAAAGCGTCGTTTATAATCGGTGAGAAAGCTACTGAAATGAAATGAGTTACGAAGTGAAAAGGTCTTACCTAGTTTACGTGAAACATCAATACAAAATGTAAACGTTCATCGAAAACGAAACGATCAGCAAACAGTCATACTTCAGCTAAAACTGCGGTCTCTCCACATATCAGTGACAATGGATATGTAGACTGGAAGGAGATTAAACTAAGTACCATAACACTAATTAATACTAGCTTAGGACGACACATATAATTCTTTTTGACTTCATGTAACGTTAGTTTTTATATCAAAACGATATTTGAAACATTGTAATTCAACGGATTTATCCACCATCTCTTCTATCTTATCCCATCATTGAATTTCGAATCAATAAAACAAAAAGCATTAGTTCGGTTAGACAAGCTTATCGAAACCCGTCTAATCCCTCCTTCCACCTTTCCAACTGATCCATAAATAAGTCAATCCAATAATTCTTCCCCACGGGATTCTTAAACTACATGAATTCTGCGATATTATCAACAGGAATTTGAAA